GTACTCAAGTCATGCTCAGCATGCATCAACTCTTTGATTCGAGTTTTTAAAGTATTTATGCTTATAAAGCTCCTCTGCTTGTTTGGACTGACCTGTAAATGCCATTGTCGATTGTTAATCAGTGCCCCTCAAACCTTTGCCAATGGTCTTAATTTGAATAAACAAACTGAATAATAATAATCTTCCCCAATTAATTAGCTCTTATAAATGAATTCAGTAAAGTTGCAGTATACGATATCAATGTATAAAAATCATTTTTATCTCTATACATTAGTAATGGGCAATCCATAGAAGATAATAGGGAAACAATGCCCTCACAATAACATCCAAGTACACAAAATGCATATGAATAAATTTAAGAGATAAAAAAATCAAAACCATAAAACACTAGTATAAAAAATGAAACATGGTCTAAATAAAAAGACATTCTATGCTTATGGATTATATTGAAAGACTTAGTGTTGTTAAGATAGCAATGTTCCCCCATGGACCTATATGTGCAATGCAATAACTGCTAAAATCTCAGCTATCTTTTAGGTAGAAATGACAAGTGAATCATAAAATTCATAGGAAAATCAAAGGGACTAAAATTGCCAAAATAATCTTGTGAAAGAACAGTAAGGTTTAAAAATTCGTATTTTCTGTTTTAAAAACTTACTGTAGTCATTCCTATAAGGCTAAGAATATAGCTTCATGTGTAGCACTGGGCTAGCTGTGCAAGGCCCTGGGTTCTAACCCCAACACTTCAAATAATAAACAAATAAGGGGCTGGAAAGATGGCTTAATAGTTAAAAACACTGGCTGCTTTTTCAGAGGACCTAGGTTCAGTTCTCAGCACCCACACGGCAGCTAACAACTGTCCTTAGCCCCAGTTCCAGGGGATCTGACGCCTTCTTCTGGCCTCCATGAGCACTGCATGACATGGGTGCACTTACATACATGCAGGCAATATATTCATACACATAAAATAAAATAATAAAATATTTTTCAAAAATCCACTTAACTTACTACAACCCATAGTGATCCAAACAGTATGGCAATGGCATTAGGACCATGAATATTTAGCTACACTGCATTTCGACCAAGTAAAACAAGATTTTCTTTTGCTTAAAGCATTGTTTTCATATAGTACTTATAAATTTAAACTAAAAAATTCAACACTATAATAACTTTGTTATTATATAGTCTTTATATCCATAGTCTTTGTTTTTTGAGGCAGGGTCTCCCTATAGCCCAAGCTGGCCTGGAACTCACTATGTAGACCAGGCTGGTCTTGATCTCACAGAGATCCACCTGCCTCTGCCTCTTGAGAGCTGAAATTAAAGGCGTGTTGCCACGTGCCTGGCCTTAAATCTATATTTTTAGGTAGCTACATTATTAGTAGCTATCGTAGCTGGATGGGTCCCAAACAGAAAGGAAAGCAATCTGCTCTTCCTAAAATAAATTATAAGAAAAATGCCAATAGCCTATTAAACTTATTTTAACTTTGTGTCAAGTAAAAAAGAAAAAAGGGTTCATTAAAGCCAAAGACCAAAGGAAAAAAAGGCTTAATCCCTGAAAAAAACCTGCGCAATCTATTTTCATCCCTACAAGCTTCTTTTCGTCCTCACTGTTTCCTCTTTCCCAGTTTCCCGCCCTTCACTTAATGATGCTGTATTACTGAACTCGGTAAGAAATGGAAACTTTGGTTCTACACTTTATCATTTTTCATGGGCTTCTAAAATTAAAAATGCTATAAATACAATAGGACAATAGTCAAATTTCAGGTACTTACAATTTTTCACTTGTATCCTGTCTCTAATAGATAATGAATGATTATTGATACTAGGCAAGCTATATGAGCAATTTATTAGATCCTTAATACAGACCAAGGTAAACTGTCACTAAATAAAATTTTAAAGTTTCAGTTTAAATGTGTGTGTGTGTGTGTGTGTGTGTGTGTGTGTGTGTGCGCGTTTCTGGGAGTAAACCTAGAGCCCTGGAGCTCTACCACTGAGCTGCAGCCCTAGCCCTACCAAAAAGAAAAAAGTTAAACCATTTTTAAAGAGTCAGAAATAGTTATTTTGAAATTCTTACCATAATTTTCTTAGAGGGCTAGAGAGATCATTCAGTAAGTAAGAGTGCTTGTTTCATAAGCATGGGGACTTTTAGTTCAAATCCCCAGAACCCATGTAAAAAGCTAGAGGTAGTTAGGTGCTTGCCCAGGTTCAGTGAAAGGACCTATCTCAAGAGAGTAAGACAGAGAGCAATAGAGCAGGATACCCAATGTCCTCCTCTGGCCTACACACACACACACACACACACACACACACACACACACACTAATTGTCTTAGAGTGATTTGTTTCTTAGGATTTGTAACTTTTATAAAACTATATTCTATTTTTAAAAAAACCCTATATTCTACTGAGGCATTTCAAATATATTCAGAACTTTATTTAAAGCTGGGTGTGGTGGTATACATCTATAGTTCTGGTACTCAGCCTGGTCTACACACTGAGACCTTTTCTCACAAAAATATTTTACAATAGAATGAAAATTATGGGTGTACTCAGTACTTTCGTAAGACAGATTTACTACTGGAACTTTAAAAGAAAGCTAAGATAGTAGATATTCTGGAAAACTTCTAACTGGGTTCACTGGAGTTAGACATCATTTTTTAAAAGCAATGTATATGTTTACAAGTATCTAAAAATCTAAAAGAGTCACTCAAGGAGAACACATGATAGAGATAAGCTCAAAAGAAGAAAACTAGGGAGCTGGGGAGATGACTCACTGGGTAAGAACACTTGCTATACAAACATGAAGACCTGAGTTCAAATCCCTAGTACCCATGTAAATGCCACGTAGCACTTACCTATGACCTCGATGAGCGGGAAAGACAAGCAGATCTCAGGAATTTGCTAGCCTAGCCAAATCAGTGAGTTTCAAGTTAAGTGAGAGACCCTGTCTAAAGGGAATAAGGCAGAGTGACAGAGCAGAACACCCAGCGTCCTTCTCTGGTCTCTGTACATGCACAGGCATATGTATATATACCACACACACACACACACACACACACACACACACACACACACACTCTCTCTCTCTCTCTCTCTCTCTCTCTCTCTCTCTCTCTCTCTCTCTCAAAAAAAAGGGCTGGAGAGAGGGCTAATTTTTTAAAGGGCTTGTTGTTCAAGTGCAAGGACCAGGGTTTGAATCCCTAGAACTCACGTAATTGCCCAGTAGGTGTGACAGCCTGTCTACTGTAATTCCAGTGATTGGAGGGAAGAGACAGGGGTCACGAAAGAAAGCTAGCTGGCTAAACCAGTCTATCAGTAAGCAGTAGGTTCAACTCAGAGACCCTGTCTCAAAGAATAAGGTGGAGTGCAATCAAAGAAGACTCCCAGCATCAATAACCTTAGGCTTCCACATGCGTGCACACACCCACATGTGAACATGCAGCTGCAAACACACCTGCACCTACACATGTGCAAACATGTATAAGCACACATATGCAAAGCATACACATGCACTAAAAAACAAAACAAAACAAAACAAAACAAAACAAAAACAGCTGGGCATGGTGGTTGCATACCTTTAATCCCTGTTCTCAGGAGGCAGAGGTAGGTAGATCTCTGCAAAATCAAGGCTAACCTGGTCTACATAATGAGTTCCAGGCCAGCTGGGGCTACAGGAAGATGCTGGCTGTCTCAAAAGGCAAAAAAAAAAAAAGGCAAACTACTGTGATAGTAAGGATTTCATAAGAAATTACATAAGAAATTAACCTAAAGTATTTATCAACTAATATTAAGAAAATAGCCAGTATAAGTTGAGGATGAACAGCTAATACTACCTCTAAGTCACTTCAATTTATGAGACTCCCTATTTGAAATCATTTGCTTTAATTTATGAATTACACCTAAGATAATAAAAGGATATTTATATCAATGAATGCATACTGTTTAAAATTTTAAACTGTTCATCTTCGAACCATTTATCAGTGATCTTCACTACATTTTTCACATCTTATTTCAAAACTCATGGAAATTTTATATGAAAATTGAGATTTCCTCCAACTTTACACACAATGGCTACTATGACCTAAATTGATGAGCTAACTTCATCTACACTGATAAATAAGACAGGATCAATTAATGTTATAGCATTTTCTTGTTATTAGTAGACATTCAATTTACCTCTAGTGTTAAAATCATACTACTATTACTTAAAATAAAAGTAAAAAAATCAATTGATTTTTCTTTAAAAGAATATTTTTCAACCAAATACCATAATGGGTTGTTCAACAGTCTCAGTGGTTCCATAAAATGTGTCAGCTAGCTGCACAGGAAGAGCTCTGTGGTCCACAGTGTTGGATAGGCCACAAAAATATACTGTCTCAAGGTGCAAATGACTTCAAGATAAACCAAAGAAACAAGAAAAATGTGTATATGAGATTGAAAGAGAGTTTCAGAAGTAGAAAAAAAAATAATTGGCTAACCATAGTTGTAAAATATTTAATCAAGACTTTTCCCGAATACATATTCCAACACGCTGATATTCTACTTCCATGCTGTGCTCAGGGTGTAGTTTTAAGATTTCTCATAAAGCTAGCTGTGATAGGTCATATCTGTAATTCCAGAATTTGGGAGGCTGAGGCAGAAGGAGCACAGCAAGTCCAAGGCCAGCCTGGGTTACATAGTGAGTTCAAGGCCAGCTTGGGCTGCATAGCAAAGCCTGTCTCATGGAAAAAAAAAAAAAAAAAGATTAATTTATGAGATAGTCTATGACAAGATTCCTTAGTCACCAAATCCAGTCTCAGCAAACATTTACAGGCTTCAATCTGCTCTGACATCTAGTCTATCGTAAAGTTACTTTAAATTCTGCCCTATGTGTTATCAGTTTTATGCATGTGAAAACACAGTTGCTAGTCATAATAAATTACACACGTACATTGTATTAGAGTAATATCATTAAAATAATAGCCTACCAATAAGAAAACTGTTGATTTTTAATACTTACCACAAGCTTTAGAAGCAGCAACACAAATTTCTTCTGCAACATACTCTCCAGTTGGAAACTTCAGATAAACTCCTTCAGCTTTTCCAAGGGAGTGGTACAGATATACCTGAAGGACTGGATCTACTTGCTTCACAGAACTAGCATTTCCAGGAATATCTCCATTCTGATGTACAGGAGGTGTGGAAGTTGCTTCCATTTCTGTCATTGTAAGGCAAGCCATTCCCATGCAGAGTCTTTTTCAGAACACTGGCCTATTAGAAAAAGCAATAAAGTTACAAATAAAAGTGATACTGGTAAGATGCCGCTCAGCTATAAAGAAATCTCCACAGCAACAGCTCTGTCAAAGTGATTAAACACTGCACTACAATGCACAAAGCACAGTGCAAGATATAAGATTATAAGCTTCCAGCAGGCACTCATAAAACTCCACTTAAAAACGTAACAGTAAATATGATGTAAATGTGTAGTATTAACAAAAAAATGAAAACTAGGATAGACGGGGGACTATGGGAGGGTGCCAAAGGGGAAGGAGGTATAAAGATGATTTTCAATATGAAATACACAAAAATTCAATAAAAACTTAAAAAATTAATTATAGGCAACACAAGATTTCACATGGAGAAACATTACTTACCAAATGAATTGTTCTAACAATTGCTTTAGTGGTGGGGAATATAGTATTTCAAACTGGAATAATTTGATAAGCTTTATTTTTTTAAGTCAGATTTAAAACTAATTTGAAAGATTTATTTGGTTTAGATAGATGGAAAAGTTAGAATAGAGAGTGTGCCATATTGAAGAGTAAAAAGGCATTACATCTGACACTGTATCAGAAAAACTAAAATAAATAAAAATAACACCAAGCAAAACCTTAAAGTATTTACTATGCACCAAGCACTACTCCAAGTACTACAGACAGGTGGGAACAATAACTACTGAGTAAGAGAATTACAACCTGAAACGTAATTCTATACATAACTATAAGGACTTTGATTACTAGAGAAAATGTTCGAATTATTTTTTAGTTATGAAAATATATATGCCTTTGAAATGGTCAGTGTGTAAAATAAAATAAACCAAAAAAGCCAACTGGCAATTGTTGGAACAGACACAAAGCTACAAAGTTTCTGAAAATCATCGACTAGTAAATATGCAAAACGTTAAAAGAATTTTAATTTGTTCAAATTTATGTGATTTAAAAAATATTTCATGTAATTTGTTAATTACAAAAGGTCAATAAAATAGCAATAGCAGTTCACTAAGCAAATTTTATAACAATAATGTGCTTTTTTAAAAGAAAAAAAAAGCTCTCAAACAAATGTTGTATCTCAAAGAACAAGAAAAAAGGACTAATTAAGCCCAAAGTTAGCAGAGGGAATGAAATGAAATACATTTTAAAAACAATGGAAAATAAAATAGTGTTAAGAATTGGTTTTTGCCTAGATACAGTCAAAGCAAATTTTTAGTATTAAAGAGTAAATTTGCTAAATACATCACTTTGTGCCCAAACTGTTTTGGGATCCTTCTAACTTCTTTCTGGGCTCATTTCTTCCTGTTCAAATATATCTTTATGGTCCATGGGTATTTAAGCGGCGGTCTTTAAAAAATATTTTGCCCTCACTCTTAAATTTTATCTGCAGTTCTTTTCCCTACACAGTGCAGATATTGTTGCACTGTTTTCTTAAGTCTACTGATGCAATTATAAGGGCGGCTGCCATCTGAGGTGTCAAACCTTTCCATCTAGCAGGTTAACTTTTTTTGTTTAACAATTTCTTGGCAATGGTCTTGGTGTCCACTTATATTTAGTTATCTTTATCAAAATGTCCTGTATGCTTTTAATCTAAAGGTTCATGTCTCTTTTTTTTGTCTTTACCACTCCAGGCAATTCTCAGCAACCAGCCATTCAAAAGTTACCTTTCTATCACTCCCTCCCATTTCTCTTGGCAGAACTGTTTGTTAATTACAGGAGCCTCTCAAGCTTAGGGTCCTGCTTAGGGCACAAAAATAAGGACAATGGTTAGCATGTCAGGGCCACTGACAGTGAGGGGAAAAGAAAATGTTCAAAGGAGGCACAAGCAGCCATAGGGATGATCTGAATAGTGGATGACACAAGTACCTGCTTTATCAAAGTTTGTCAAGCTGTATACTTGGTGGTATGCTACAATTAGATTAAAGTTTTAAGACTTTTTAAAGCCAGGTGTGATGGTTCATGTGTATAATCCTAGCACACTTGGAGGCTGAGGTAGGAGGACCACCATGAGACTAAAGTCAACCTGGACTCTATAGTGAGTTCTGGGCCAGCCTGAGCTACAGAGTAAGACCTTGTCTCAAAAATAAAAAGTTTGCCTGAAGTAAATTCAAGTTTTAAATTTTAATTCTGTTGGCTATCTTTCTTGACAGTTGGTCTGCCAGCTCATTTTACCATTCCCTATCTCACCTTAATTCCCAAACACACACAGCTCCCTAACAAACTGTGATAAGCCTCATACAGACTATCTGTATAACAACATATAGAACCAGGTCTCACACCAGGTTAAAATTTCTGTGATGCAAATTCAGTCAGACAACAAGAGAGTCTTCGCTCCACTTCAGTGTTTAAAAACCTGTATCATCTCTTCTTCCTAAGCCTGCAACTTATCTAAAACTACAGCATCAGCAGCATTTGGCAGGAGGTTCCTCTCTCGGTGGCCCATTTGAAGGGAGGAAATGTTAGCAGTAAAAGTTAACTCTAGTCCATTTACACAAGTTCAAAACCCCTGATCTCTCTACAAGGAACACAGCAAGCCACAGACACTAACCACACTTGCTGTTTTCTATTTGTAGTCCAACACTATATTCAGCCTGACATTTTCCCCCTTTTTGTAGTACTAAGGATTAAACATAGGGCCTCACACATGCTAGGCAAATACCACTGAGCTATATTACCAATCTTTATTTAAAATATTTTTGAAATTCTAAGGCAGAATCTCACCAGGTTGCTGAGACTGGCCTTAAAGAAGCTTTGTAGCCCGAACAGGACTTAAACTTGTCCCAGACTCTTGAGTAGCTGGGATGACAGGCCTGCACCACTACTGTCTGAATTCAGCCTATGTATATATCTTGTTTTCACTTTTGAGATTTTAGTATGATCCAATTATGCATTTAAAACCAAAAGGATGTTGCATGTTGCCTTAAACATATAGGCATATATCCCTCAGAAGTTCACATGCACTCAGTAAATGTGTGCTACATTAAAACAAATTCAGTCTTTTAGAAAATGTACTTATGTTTTGCTACAGGAGAGAATAAAACACATAAATGACTTTAATTGGGTGTTTTTCTATGAATGGATCACACACACATGCATGCACACACATACACACACACAAAGATTACGGTGATTCCGCTGCAGGGGTCTTTTTGAGACAGGGTCTCCCTGTAGTCCCAGTTGGCCTAGAACTCACTCTGTAGACCAGACTGGCCTCGAACTCACAGAGATCTGTCTGCCTCTGCCTCCCAAGGGCTGGGATTAAAGGTGTGTGCCACCATGCCCAGTAGTGCCAGTGGTTTTACTAAGACTGCTTTTATGGCCTCTGCACACATCTCAACACAGTGAAAACAATATTTAACATTCAAGTATTATTACGAAGATGGCTTTAACTCCTCTGAATGGGTTTTGAGGATCTGGCTAAGATCATGACCATAGAACTGCTCAATTCTTCTAACTGCAGCTTTACAGAAACTCATAAATACACATACACTAGCAGACATCTTGGACCTGTTTCCAAAGTCAAAATGAAGCAAAAAAAAAAAACCTCCAGACAATCCAAATTATCAAGAAAATGAGTAAATACTTTGGCATATTCACACTATCGAACATATATTTCTCATCTGTTAAACTATAACTTGTATACAATATGGATAAATCTTGAAATATAATAGTAAGTTGTACAAAAGCTATAAAATAACCATTTTAAATTAATTAAACAAAACAGGACAGTACATCAAGGCATGCACACATGTATTAAACCCAAAGAACATAAAAGGAAAAGTTGGGAAGACATAGGAGTGTAAGTTACTGACGGCTAATGCTCTACTTCCCAAGATGGTGGCAGCTTATGAGTATATAATGTATTACTTTTAGAACTTATGTCTAAGCTATGTCTATTCTATTCTTATAGGATTCCCCCCATTACATACAATGAAATGTACAATGTACTCATAGTCTGGACCATGCACACATGTGACCTCAAACTCTCAAGAAATTACCATCACTCCAGAAAGTTCTTATGCTCCTTCATCAATCCCTGCTCCCACCACCTCAGCAGCTATTACTGTTCTTTCTTTTTCATTACATTTTTTTAAATGTGTGCGTTTTGTCTCCATGTAAGAGTATCACATACATGTAGTGCCCATGGAGGCCATACACAGCTGTCAGATTCCTTGGAACTGGAGTTATGTATGGTTGCTAACGGCCATGTGGGTACTAGGAACAGAACCCAGGTCCTCTGCAAGAGCAGCCAGTATGCTTAACCACTGAGCCATCTCTCCAGCCCTGTTCTAATTTTTATAGGCTAGATTACTCTTGCTCACAAACAGCTCTCTCAATGAGTTTCGTTCTAAAGAGGAGTGAAAAATAGGGCAGTAAGTTGATGAGACTGTGGAGTCAGGTAATGAGGGAGGTGGCATGCTCAAATTGTAGCTTGTCAAATTCAGCCAGTTGGCTGTTTTTGTAAATTAAGCTTTACTGGAACACAGTACTATGCCATTTATTTATGTACTATGACTGCTTTTGCATTACAAAGGCAGTTGTAGAGTTGCACAAGGGACTCTAAAAACTATCTGGTTCTTCATGGAAAATCTCGACCAAACTTAATTTAAATCAGCACGTTTCACAATTCGGCTCCTAGATCACATCATCAGTATCACCTGGGAACTTGTAAGGATGTAAATATACAGGTCCTGCTCAAGACCTACTGGAGCAAACTCTGGAGACAGAAGTCAACAACTTATGTTTCCGCAAGTCTTATATATAATTCTAATAAGAACCACTGGATTAAGGAATAGTTCTGAGTAGCCACGGACAGATGAGCACCCACATGAGGTTTGTCTCCAGAAACTTAAGAGTCTTGGGGATCTAACAGAGGCCTAACAAAGCCTCAAGGAGACTGTCAGTGAAGACTTAACCTAAAGTGACAAAAATGCTATTTAAAGTTATAGAAAAGGAGATTCTTCCTACCTTATACTGGAAAGTTTGTCAAAACTCTGACCT